TAAACTAACTTGGAAACTTATTTCTGGTTATAAAGTGTTGTGGGTAGATGTGGTATTTAATAAATATATGCTGAGAAGTGAAGAGGACTTACTTGATGCAAAAAATGGCGTCTAGAAATTTATTGTCTAGCAAAAAGAAATAATTCACATGGGAACAAAATGGAATCTCAGAAATGGTGTTCCATAAATTTCTTTAATGATCAGTGGTTTTTTCCTAATAAGCCAATTAAAGGCTATTCTATTAGACCTGTAACCTATGATGAAGATGAAAGTAAGGTAGCAGATTGGGTAAGTTATAGAGCTTGGGATTTTCAATGACTGGCTAATATGTAGTTCCTAGCAATATATTGCATATATGAATTTCTATGCTTCCTCCTATAAATGCTGCTGGGAATGATTTTTTGTCTTGGAATGCTACTATTGATTGTAGCTATTTTGTGAATAGTACTTATTTCTTAATTAAAAAAAACATTGTTGATTCTAATGATTTTGTTTATAAAGCACTATGGAAATAGACAGGTATAGAACAGAATAGGGTTTTCTTACAGATAGCCTATAATAATTTGCTATCCACTAATTTTTGGAGAAGCAAGTGGTCTTCTTGCTTTTCTATCCGTTCTGATTGTAATGTTGATGCAAAAGATGTTTTCCATATCATTTAAGACTACCATTATGCGAAACACCTCTGGATGCAATTAGTAAATCTCAGTTTTTTAACTCCTTTTCTGCCTCTCTTCGTGATTGGTTTGCTCTTGATTTGAAGAGGGAGTGGGAAATAAATAGGGATAGGAATTGGAGCCTCATATGGGGTGTAGAAATATGGAAATTGTGACTGTATCAAAACAATTCAATTTTTGATCCTAACTTTGATAAACCATTGCATCTGGCAACAGTGATACAGCAGATATGGAGGAATTATGCGCTAGTCCAGGACAATACTCCTATTCAAATCTCTGATAATCTTTGTAATATCAAATGGGCTCCTCCTTCTTTAGGTTGGGTCAAGATTAAAGTGGATGGTGCTATGACATCTAATGGGAAGAAAGCAAGCTGTAGAGGAGCAATCAAAGATCATGAGGGGCATTAGGTGGCTGGATCTTCTTATCATATTGAAATATGTAGTGCGTTTGATGCAAAAGAATGTGCTATTTATAAGGGACTATAGCTTGGTTAGGATATGGGGTTTAGGAAAGTGGTGCTGAAATTTGATGCAAAAAATTTAGTTACTTTGCCAAATAGAGGAGAGCGCACAAATGTCGGTAGTCTGATGTTTTCAAAGAATCAGAGGATTGGTGTCTTTTTCATGGGATCTACAGCTCACGTACATAAACAAAGAACAAAACCAGGCTGCGGATGCCTTAACTAAGGAAGGTTTGGCTAGATCTATTGTGCCTAGTTCTTGCCCATCATATTTACAAGCATTTGTGCAAAAAGAGAGTTTGGGATTGAAGCCCCCTTATTTTATTATTTCCTATTTGGGGCGTTGGCCCTCCTGCGTATAAAAAAAAAAAAAACTCTTCATGTCTTCTGTTTTTTTTTCTAACACACAAATTTTTTCTTATTAAAGGCAATCTTATTTGAGACATTATTGGGTGTTAAATTTGAGTATTTCTCCTAGTGAAGATTTGAATCTTGGTTTGTTATATTGTGAGAGACTAACTTCTTTTGCTAGACTCAACCCTCATTGGTAGTAGCTCTTTATTTCTTTTATTGTTTTTTATTGTTCCTTGCATTTAAGCCTCATCTATGTGAAAAAACTTGAGAGAATTAATCATGTAGTCATAAGGCTACGTTAGGATTCAATCTCTAGCGTTTAACTCATTCAATTTAATCCTTCCAGCTTCAATCGTTCAATTTATTGATCCTAAGAATTATAGAAACTAAGTTGTAATAAAATTTAAATTACATGAACTAATAATTAATTTTTTGGTTAAAAATGTCTTTGTAAAAGAATTTTGAGTATAATGCCGCTCTAGAAGCACATAACAATGGCAACCTAGATCAACAAACTTTTCTAGAATATTAGTTGACTTGATTATGCTGATGTTACGACAGAATCATCAAAATTGACCGGGAAAGTGAGAGACCAAAGACTGAAACTAAATCTAGAACGGACGAGAAAGAGGAGGGTGAGAAGTGAGAGGACCGTTGGACATTTTCAACTTTTGATCCCCTTTTCCAGTATCAAAGCAGCTCTTCCTTCGGTTACTGGAAGAAGAGAAACTTCCCTCATGCATGGGAGTTGGGAAAGCATGAATCAGAGAGAGAGAGAGAGAGAGAGATTTTTTTTTTTTACCTGATATTTCTCATATCAATGTATAAGTTCATTGGATTATTCTTTCTAGAAAAGAAATTAAAAGAGGACACGTGTAAAGATGAGCATTAAATTAAAAGATAATAATATTTATAATAGGGGAAATCACAAATAAAGACCCTCGAATTAGCAAAATCACTCTATGGTCACACCTGAATATGCTAAATTACTGAGGGACCCGGTCTCAAATTGTAATTATGAAATCATGGCCAAATTACCAAAATACCCCTCTTTAATTTTTTTTTTTTAAAAGAAAGTCACTACCTCACCGGAATCCGGCCACCGGCGCCGGAGCTTCGGCGGCCGCTTCCGGCCACTGTCGGCGGCAGGACGCCGAAGTTCGGCCGCCGGAGCTCCGGCGCCGGCGGCCGCTTCCGGCGGTCTTCCTTTGTTTTTTTTTTTGAAACTGTTTTTTTTTTTAAATTGGGGGGAAGTGAGGTTGGGGGGATTTGATCCCCCAACCTAATGCTTCCCAAAATAAGGAATGACCATTGAGCCAACAAATTTTTGTTAACATTATGATGCAAAAAAAAACATAAGTTAACTCATTTACTCTTGTTCCAGGTGATAACAACAATACATTTGGAAATAACAAGTTCTGATTGTAAAATAACACGTCTGGAATAAAAATTTAACAATATGTTTTTTTTATAACAATAAATTTTGTTGCAGGCAATAACAACAATACATTTAAAAATAACAAGTTCTGATTATAAAATAACAAGTTTGAGATTAAAATTTAACAATACGTTTTTTTTTATAACAACACACTTTATTTCAAGTGATAACAACAATACATTTAAAAATAACAAGTTCTGATTATAAGATAATAAGTCTGGGATTAAAATTTAACAACATGTTTTTTTATAACAACACACTTTGTTTTAAGTGATAACAACAATACATTTGGAAATAACAAGTTCTGATTATAAAATAATAAGTTTGGAATTAAAATTCAACAGCACCTTTTTTTTTATAACAATTAATTATTTTATACTTTTGGAAAATAAATTATTTATAACTTATAAAAAGTACTTGTAATCTATTTAATTTGCTAAAAAATAATTTTTATCTCCAATTTATAATCAGAACTTGAAGTATAATTTTTTATAGATTAAAAATACTTTTTTATTGTTCAAATTTATAAATAAAATTTAGAGAAAATGGCAACACACTTTTTTAATTTTTTTTTTAAATTTTTAATCTATATATCTATACAACTTATTATAAATCAAACTACTTCTTATAAATTATAAATAGTACAATTTATTGTGGATTAAAAATACTTTTTGACTGCTGAAATTTATAAATGAAATTTATCTCTAATTTATAATTAAAAATACTATTTTATTCTTTAAATATAAAAACTATTTTTAATATTTAAAGAATGAAATAATATAAAATTTATACTATGATTAATAAATCAAAAATGCCTTATTATAAATACTTTATAATTTATAAGAAGTAGTTTGATTTATAATGAGTTGTATAGATATACAGATTAAAAAGTATTTTTTTAGAGAAATAAATATATTAAAAATATTTTTTATAAGTTATAAATAATTTATTTTTTAAAAGTATAAAATAATTAATTGTTATAAAAAAACGTGTTGTTAAATTTTAATCCTAGACTTATTATCTTATAATCAGAACTTGTTATTTTTAAATGTATTGTTGTTATCACTTGAAACAAAGTGTATTGTTATAAAAAAAAACGTGTTATTAAATTTTAATCCCAAACTTGTTATTTTATAATCAGAACTTGTTATTTTTAAATGTATTGTTGTTATTACCTGCAATAAAATTTATTGTTATAAAAAAAACATATTGTTAAATTTTTATTCTAGACGTGTTATTTTACAATCAGAACTTGTTATTTCCAAATGTATTGTTGTTATCACCTGGAACAAGAGTAAATGAGTTAACTTATATTTTTTTTTTGCATCATAATGTTAACAAAAATTTGTTGGCTCAATGGTCATTTCTTATTTTGGGAAGCATTAGGTTGGGGATCAAATCCCCCCAACCTCATTTCCCCCCAATTTAAAAAAAAAATAGTTTCAAAAAAAAAAAACAAAGGAAGACCGCCGGAAGCGGCCGCCGCGCCGGAGCTCCAGCAGCCGGACCCCGGCGTCCGGCCGCCGACAGTGGCCGGAAGCGGCCGCCGGAGCTCCGGCGCCGGTGGCCGGATTCCGGTGAGGCAGTGGCTTTCTTTTTAAAAAAAAAAAATTAAATAGGGGTATTTTGGTAATTTAGCCATGATTTCATAATTACAATTTGAGACCGGGTCCCTCATAGTAATTTAGCATATTCAGGTGACCATAGAGTGATTTTACTAATTCGAGGGTCTTTATTTGTGATTTCCCCTTTATAATATCGGCATTTATGAATGTGATTGCGAGTTTGTTAATTTATTTTTTAGTCCTTCAACTGACTCATGATCACAAGTTAAGAAATTGAGCTATAGACAAATTAAAAGTTGGTGAATTAAGCGATTATTTTTTCTTAAAAAATAAAAAAATGATAAAAGATATTTATTGAATTTTAAAAAAATATAATGATTTTAACTATGTTTGTAATAATTTTTAATATTCAAAATCCGTGAAATTCACCTTTTTTTTTTTTTAACTTTTGAGACCACACGTCCACAGCCCTCTAGAGCGTGCGGCTGACCTTGCTCTCACTGCCAAGGTTCCTAAAATAGTGAAGCTTCATCCTCTTTCGTACTCCACAGAACCCAACCCAAGCTCGTCCTTTTTCGACCCCGCTTCACCCAAACGCTTTCCTCCTCCGTTCCCATCGCCGGTGACCTGTGTTTTCATCCTCTCCTACGCCACCGTTGGCTTGTGGGTCTTGCCGATTGCTCGTGGCAACTGCCGATTTCTCCTTCGTTGGCGTGTTACAGTTTTTGCTTGTGGTGTGCCGCCGTTTGCTTGGCATTCGGTGCGTCCCTCCCCTCCCTCTCATCTCTTCCTGTCCGTCTTTTGTTATGGTAATGGCGTCAATGTTGGCTTTATCTGTTGCCTCCCTACCTAAATGCATGGTAAGCTGCTTACATTTGCGTAACGAATTAATCTGCTGGATTAATCTAATATATGTAGCAATTGATGTTCTCTTCCTTTTCAATTATCAGGAGTCCGACAAATTTTCAGATTCTTCTCTCCGTGGTTCGTGATTAGCTTCCTTTTTTTTTTGCCTTCCAGAATGAATTATCCTATTCATTGAGATGACCTTTCAGAACGCATTGTTATTTTCCATGTTAATAGGTAAAAATAAGGAGTCTGGCTATTTGCGCTTTTTGGAGCGAAGAAAAGTGGTTCTCTCTTCCGTCGGGATACTTTCCTGGACGTTGTTGAATAATGCAAAGGACGGAAGTAGCGTGGCGACTGAATTTGCTGACAGTAATTTCCTTTGTTCCCCTTGTCTAGATATTACAATGATACTATTTGTAGGTTGACTATGAGATATTCAGCAAGCTTAGGAACGATATTAAATTTGGCCCTTCTTTAAGTTACGGGGTTAGCGATCAGCAGAAAACACACACACACACACACACACACAGAGTTGCGATGGTAACGTGCAAACTTCATTTTTAAAATTTTGTTGCTGTCTAGCAGCCTTTCTATATTGCTTGATATTTATTCCTGCCAACTGCTGCTATCAAAGATTTCACATTATTTCACTATTGCATCACGTCCAAGTATTACTGGCAATCATGACTGTCACTAAGCTGTTAAGGTATTGCTATGTAAGACTTTGAATGCTTTAGAGAAAGGATTTTTACTTTTTCATGAATTCTGTAGCTGAATTTTTCCTCAATTAGGGGAAACCTTAGTTTTCTTACTGTAGATGATGCAACTTCTTAGCTATTTATGGTATAATTTAGGTAGCTTCTATGTCTATGCATGTACCGTTGAGTTACATGGGATTCATGACAGCATGAGAAATTTCACAGCTGTATTGACTTTCAGCAATTTGTTTGTACACAGTGCCAGCACTTAGGGGCAAAAATTATGGCAAGACAAAAATGCGATACCCAGACTATACAGAAACTGAATCAGGACTCCAGTATAAGGTCAGTAATTGGTTGATAGTATGTAACTACTTCAGCATAAGTATATTTTGCATTAAATTCATATTGATAAATAATGCAGGACTTACGAGTAGGAGATGGCCCTAATCCAAAAGCGGGAGACACAGTGGTGGTAAGACATTACATTTATAGTTTTTCATTGTGATTTTGGATCTAACTTAGCCAGTTATCTTTCAATGAACAGAATACTCATTCAAAATGAATACATTAGTTTGCTCAGTTTAATTAGTTCAGCAGCTTGAGCTAGAAAATGATAGTAGCTTTCATCTGCCTAGGCAGACACTTTCAGGACAATATCCTTGCCTCTTCGAATTAGATAATTGAAGCAACTTATGGACTTTAGATTCCATTCAGGTGGATTGGGATGGTTACACCATAGGTTATTATGGTCGCATATTTGAAGCCCGGAATAAAACTAAGGGTGGTTCTTTTGAGGTATGAAATCCTTTTCATCTTGTAGCTGGACATTGTACAAATGGTTGATTGTTACACTCCTTTTCACTTGTAGGGTGATAACAAGGACTTTTTCAAATTCAAAATAGGATCTCAAGAGGTGAGTCTTCGTTTAATGACATCCTAGTTCCTTAAAATTTGAGGTACATTTTTGTTTAGGTTATGACATTATTTCATGAGCAATGTTTATGTTGTTTTTTGTTATGCCAGACAACAAACATCATATTTAGAGCTTTCTATGTCATGATATTTAGATGTAGGGAATTCAATAAGAGAAAGTTTAGAAGATCCCGGTAGTATGTGGAAAAGAGAAACTAGTTGAAATGCTGGGTAACATTTGATACCCTTTATTATGCTTCGATGCCTCTTATAAGTTTGATATAGTTCATCACAACCATCAAGAAAAGAGCTTGCTAAAGGGGGGAGGAAGAAAAAGAAAAATAATAAAAGAAAAAAGCGAAGTCAGGGCAAATAGAAGTTTGAATTGAGTCTATTCATAGGAATGGCAACTTGAAGTAATGAAGGTTCACTGGCTTCTCTGAAAATATTTATTATGCTTTCCTTTCACATAATTGTTACCATAACTAGAACAGGATTTCCTGAGGTGGCAATGAAAGAAATGACAAGAAAATTTGTTCTGGGAGAACAAGATTGTAGAGAGGAGAAGAATTTATCATGACCTTAAGACACTAAACAAGTAGGAAAGGAACTCATACGAGTTTCATTCTGCTACCGCAGAAGCTTAAACATGATAATTAATACTACACTTTGGATGTAGAGTTTTATGTACTTTTTTCAATTTGAACGAATGGAACTCCAACTTTATGATCATGGTTCTCTTGAATTATGTAGTTATGTCCTCCATCATGCCCTATATTATACTGATAGTTGTCAAACTATAACTAGGGGTGTTGAAGGAACTAAAATTAAGGCTATTGAACTGACAAGCTAAGTAAAACAACGGTGCTGTTATTTTGTTTATTTTTGGCTAATTTCTGTTTAGAGAAAAAGTAAATGACGCTATTGCAGTTTGGTTCGGTGAGTGGTTGCAATTGGATCAAACTAGAACGAGATTAGAATAGTTTAAAATAACATGGAACGATGAGTTGAAAAAATAAATCAAGATGGAACCAGTAGTTCTGTTTTACACCTTTAGCTAAAATTTCAAAATAGAAGCACAAGTCAATATTATTATTGGATGCTAGAATACATATGCTCTATTTTTGGGAGCTATATCACTTGCGTTTTAGATGACTCCCTACACAAACAGGGGGTTTTGAAAAATGGTTGCTTATGTTCCTTGAACGTTCAGGTAATCTCAGCTTTTGAAGAGGCTGTTTCAGGCATGGCTCTTGGGGGAATTAGAAGGTTCTTCATCCTTTTTCTATTTCTTAGAAATTTAATGTGCGTGGTATTCCTGAGTTGTTTTGTGCAAATTTATTTCCTGCTAACATAACAGCTGGGAGTTCGTGAACTCTGCAGATAACAGGCGTTTGAATATAATGTCCTGTTCATGACACCACAAATATTGTGTTAACATTTGACCATTTATGAAGCTGAATGTTGAGTGATTTACTTGTTAGAATTGCATATTGTTCTAAACTCAAGCTCTGTATTTGGGAAACTCTAAAAACGTATTTGGGGTGAAAAGATGAACAAGTGAATTGATTGTTTCCTAATGTTGGGTTTGAATTTTTTTAATACTCTAACTACTCTTGGAGATGCATCGTGGGCACATCTTTCAAGAGAAACAGTTTGGGAGAGAGATGCAATTTACACTGCATATTTTAATGATGCAGGATAATTGTGCCCCCAGAATTGGGATATCCTGACAATGATTTCAATAAGAGAGGCCCAAGACCAATGACATTCTCGGTAATGATTGACTTTTTTGTTTTCGCCTGATCCAAGTGGGGACTTAGGAATTTGCTATGAAAACTTGTTTCAGGGCCAGCGAGCCTTAGATTTTGTGCTAAGGAACCAAGGGCTGATAGATAAGACTCTCTTGTTTGATATTGAGCTGTTGAAGATCATACCAAGCTGACCTGTCAAATGTTGCGGCTCATTTTCTGAAGGCTCAGGTCAGTTTTCTTATGACATCTGCAACTCACTTGGTATAGATTGATAATATTTTTCTGATTCTGTTTGCCTTGGTAATTGTAGAGGTTCTCTCTTGGAACCAGTTAGCTGATCAACAATTGTTATATGATAATTATAATGTGAGTGCTGCTAGAGTGTCTTTTGAAGTATTTAATGCGTGCTTACTCATTCTTCCTAACTTGCGTTTTGGCCGCAGCACATATATGGAACCCAACCTTCTTATTTACAGAGGTATAGAGGAATATAAGGTCGTTGCTTTTCCTTCGTGATTGAAATATTTGTGGCTTTTGATTGAAAAAACAATTTTTTTCCCCGCAAATGTGCTTATAACATTTAGTTTAAGTGATATTTGCACGTGGTTTACTAAACATTGATTCACTGTATATGCGTGTGGGGAGGAACACAATCATATGACCAATTATGTAGATAAGTAAAAGAAAAGAAAATGAAACTTTTGGTTCTTACCCACTTGTCACTTGCAATTCGATCCCTATATTTTGATTATACGAGTGTTAATTTGTTCCATACGGTTTCGAAGTCTTGTATAACTAATCCTCTGATTTGAGCGTTATATAGATGTCAAATGAAGTTTTACCCAAAATTCAATCTTCTTTTGCTGAATATTACTTCTTACATTGATACTGATCTTGGTATCATATTTATTTAATGTTCTGAAATTATTTGACGTTTATTGATGTATTCAAAGGATGGGGACTATTTAGGAAAAAATCTCAAAAAACAAACAACAAGCCTTATCCCACTAGGTGGGGTCGGCTACATGAATCACACGACGCCATCGTGCTCTGTCAACAACCCAATCCTTAGATATGTTGTTGATTAGGAGGTCTCGTTCAATGACCTCATTCAGCGTTCTTCTCGGTCTTCCCCTGCCTCTTTTTATGGGACTCCATCTTGTTTGATCCATCCTCCTCACCGGGGCTTCCAAAGGCCTTCTCTGCACATGTCCAAACCATCTTAAGCAATTTTCAACCATTTTTCTTGGATAGGTGCCACACCGATTCTGTCCTGATCTTTTCATTTCGAATCCTATCTTTTCTTGTATGACCACACATCCATCTCAACATCCTCATTTCTGCTACTCCGACTTTGTGCTCTTGTTTTCCCTTTATTGCCCAACATTCACTACCATCTATCATAGCTGGTCTTATAGCAGTCCGATAAAATTTTCCTTTAAGTTTCTCAGGTACCTTCTTATCGCAAATAACTCCGGTAGCTTTCTTCCACTTTAACCAGCCAGCTTGTATTCTATGAGAAATGTCTCCATCAATTTCCCCATACTCCTGTATAATGGATCCTAGGTATTTAAACTTTGATACTTGAGGAATAATTTGCTCTCCCATCCTCACCTCCAAATCCCTATTACCTTGTCTCCCTCCAAAATCACAATGCATATATTCTGTTTTGTTCCTGCTCAAACAGAAACCTTTCGACTCCAAAGTCCTTCTCCATAACTCCAAACTAGTGTTAATCTTTCTTTTGATTCCGCATAAGAACTATATCATCCGCGAAGAGCATGGACTTAGGGATTCTTTCTTGAATAGGTTTAGTTAGAACATCCAAAACAATGTTGAACAAGTACGGACTCAGAGAGGATCCCTGATGTAGGCCAATCTTAATAGGAAAGTCCTTTGTCTCCCCCCCAGGCGTCCTTACACTGGTAGTTACCGCCTCATACATATCTTGTATGACTTTGATATACGCAACCCGTACACCTTTCTTTTCCAAAGCCTTCCACAATACTTCTCTTGGCACACGATCATAAGCCTTTTCCAGGTCAATAAAAACCATATGTAAATCTCTTCTTTTACTTCTATATCTCTCCATTAACCCCCTTAGTAAATAGATTGCTTCCGATGTGGATCTCCCTGGCATAAATCCAAATTGGTTTTCCGAAATAGAAGTCTCCAACCTCAATCTATATTCCATCACTTTTTCCCACAACTTCATTGTATGACTCATAATTTTTATCTCCCTATAGCTTGCACAGTTTTAAATGTCTCCTTTATTCTTGTAAATAGGAACTAAAATGCTTTTCCTCCACTCATCCGGCATATTTTTAGAGCGTAGAATTTCATTAAAAAGCTTGGTTAGCCATACCTCCCCCTCATCGCCCAAACATTTCCAAACTTCAATAGGGATACCATCAGGCCCAACGGCTTTTCCATTGTCCATTTTCTTGAGAGCCGCCTTAACCTCTCCGATACGTATCCTGCGGTAGAAAGCCAAATTCCGATCATCTTCGTTAATTAGCAAGTCCTGCAAGTCCTGAGTCGCATAATTGCTTTCCTCATTAAACAACTTGTAAAAGTAAGCCTCCCATCTGTCCTTAATATCACCATCAGTAACTAACACTTTACCATCTTCATCCTTTATACACTTAACTTGATCCAGATCTCTCTTTTTCCTCTCCCTTTGCTTCGCGATCTTGTAAATATTTCTTTCTCCCGTCTTTGTTCCTAACTCCTGATAAAACCCTTCATAAGCTTTAGTACGTGCTTCGCTCACTGCTCTCTTTGTCTCTTTTTTAGCCAACTGATACTTTTCCTGGTTCTCTACACTATTGCACAAGTGTATGGCCTTAAAACAATCTTTTTTCTGTTTGACTTTCTCTTGCACACTCTTATTCCACCACCAAGTCTCCTTATCTCTTTGACCAGGACCTTTGGATTCTCCCAAAATTGCTTTAGCTACCAAACGAATCCTTGTAGCTATCTCTTCCCACATCATGTTTGCATTTCCCTGCAACTCCCAATTCCCTTCCTTCAAAAAAGTCCTTTTGAATAACTCTCGCTTCTCTCCTTTTAACTGCCACCACTTAATCCTGGGTTTTGCCACTTGATGGTACTTTTGCCTGGTACTCTTAAAACATACATCAAGGATACGTACTCTATGTTGGGCACTCACCCCGTCTCCTGGAATCACTTTGCAATTAGTACACAATCTTCTGTCCGGATTCTTAACCAAAAAGAAATCAATCTGTGATTTTGAGACACCACTTTTGTACGTGATTAAATGCTCCTCTCGCTTCTTAAAACAAGTGTTGACAATCTTAAGATCGTATGCAAGAGAAAAATCGAGAATAGATTGTCCTCCACTGTTAAGCTCCCCAAAACCAAAACCACCATGGGCCCCGCTGAATTGTTCTGCTTCTTTACCAACATGTCCATTAAGGTCCCCACCGATAAAAATTTTTTCTTCGAGTGGTATGCTTTGAACCAAGCCTTCCATATCTTTCCAAAACTTATCTTTAAGGTGTGTCTCTGCTCCAACCTGAGGTGCATAGGCACTAATGATATTGATAGTATCCTTTCCAACAATTACTCTTAACGATATTATTCTGTCCTCAAACCTTTTAACCTCTACCACGTTTTTTTTCCATGTCCCATCAGTGATGATACCAACCCCGTTCCTTGTGCTCATCTTTCCTATGTACCAAAGTTTATACTCTCCAAGTTCCTTGGCAGCTTCTCCAGTCCATTTGGTTTCTTGGAGGCATAAGATATTAATCCTTCTGTCCCTCATAACTCCTGCTACTTCCATAGATTTCTCATTTAACGTCCCAATATTCTAAGTGCCAAATCTAATCTCAGTCTCATGAACTAACTTCTTTAGCCGCCTCCGTCCAAGAGAGTGCGGTAGCCCTTGCTCATTTAACACTACATCCGGGCGACGATGCAGCGGCTCTAGCTCATTTCTCACTGTACTCGAGCCATACAGCGCGTCACATCTGGGCAACGACCTAGCATTAGCATAATTACTTCGTTGATCCATGTTCATGAGATTCGACGGGTTTTTACGTTGGCTGTCGAGGGCCTAACACAACCCTCCTCCTTTATCCGGGCTTGGGACCGGCTATACAACATAGGCGGAGTTATTTAGGAAAAAATCTCAAATAATCCAAAATTTTATTTGGGTGATTCAATTATCAAATTCTTAATGAAGTCACAAGACTCAAAAAGGAATTTTAAAATTTTATAGAATGACACTAATGTCTTTTTCATTACAAACCCAGAAAAGTGAGAACTTCCTATCATTTTTAAATTGTTAATTTAGAATTAAAACGTGTTAGTTGCGTAATTAAACTTGTTAATTTTTAAAATTATTATTATTTTTTATTCAAAGGCTTATTACAAATTTGTTTTAAAAATAAAAAAATTATTAATTTATAATAGAAACATATTAATTGTGAAATGTAATATATTACTTTTTAATGTTGTATTATGATTAAATTTTATTTAAAGTTTTACTACAAATATTATGGGGGTATAAAACTGTTAATTTAGAATTAAAACTAGTTACCTATATAATTGAACTTATTAATTTTTAAGGTTGTATTGTAATTAAGTTTTATTTAAAAATTTATTGCAAACATGTTGTGGAGGCATAAAATTATTAATTTAGAATTGAAATATATTAATTACAAAATGGACCATATTAATTTAGAATTTTCTTTTGATTTCTAATTAAATAGGCAATAGAGTTAGGGAAAATGACAGCAACAAAAAAAACTTGAAATTGTGAAATCCTAATTCAGAAAGCTAAGGATTGAAAATGATAGAGGGAAGTAAATTCAAATTAGAATTTTGAAACTCAAATGAAATTACAAAAATTTCTTTTTTTTTTTTTATTTTAAAAACTTCAACCCCTTACCAGATTTCGCCACACAAGTCCCCTCTTAGGAAAGTAGTGGGGTAGGATTTAATCCTATCGCCCTATGGTCATTTAAACCAACTAAAAAGATTTGTGCCTATTAGGTTGCTAATGATTTCTTAGCATTATTTTTTTGTGTTTGTGAGTGTGCACGTGTGTATAAGTTAACTCTTTTATTCTGATTTCAGTTCGTAACAACAATTTATCTAAGAATAACAAGTTTAAACTTGAGATTAATAAAGTTATATATATATATATAATGTGAAATAACATGTGAATTAGTTAAAAATGATACCAATTTATTTAGGGATGATTAGTCTTAATTGTAAAATGATAAGTCTAAACTTGGGATTAACAATATTATTTTTAATTAATTCACATGTTATTTCTTCTTATGTATTAAGAAAAAACAAACTATTAATATGAAATTTAGACTTGTTATTTTTCAATCAAGACTTGTTATTTTCAGATAAATTGTTGTCATTTTTAGTTAATTCACATGTTATTGCACGTTATGTATCAGGAAAAAATACTTTGTTAATCTTAAATTTAGATTTATCGATTCTAGATAAGTTGTTATCATTTTTTTTTGGTAATACAAAGAGGCCTCAGGCCCAGAAAACCAAAATAATAAAAATCAACCTGGGTCCATATTCCTCATATCATCACGCTCTACCACTGAACTCATATCTTCTCTGCAATATCCTGACACCTTATCTTGTTCAACCTGACTTTTCACTTCAAGGGGGATATCATCCCAAACTCGACAACCTCCAATCATGTTTCTCCCCATTTTTGCCAATATATCAGCGCAAACATTCAAACCTCTATCAATATGGTAGATCTGAATTTTCCAGTTCCTGTCTAACATATTCAAAATTCTGCTTTGTATCCCAGTAG